CGCAATCGTTTCAGGACCAGAGCACGGATGAATCGATATGGAAACTGTTGTAGCTGAAGGAAAGTGAGGTCGAAGTTGTTTTGTTGCCCGAACTGAAGCGATCAGAAGAGAAGCTTCCGGAAGTGTTGAAGTGCTTCAGGGAGCAGAAGCGTGGCGACTTGGCTTTCGCTACTTTGGATGCACTCCGGGAAGATGGCACCATCAAGCTGAAAGCATTCCATTACACGCAGGGAATTACCGCATGTGCCAGATCCAAAATGCCACAGCAAGCATTGAAGTTGTTTGATGACATGCCCCGGGCAAAGGTTAAGCCGGATGTCTACAGCTACAGTGCCGCCATCAGCGCATGTGAAAAGGGCGGTCAATGGCAGCAAGCATTCATGTTGCTTGATGCCATCCAAAAGGCAACGGTTAAGCCAGATGACTACAGCTACAGTGCCGCCATCAGCGCATGCGAGAAAGGCAGTCAATGGCATCAAGCATTGAAGTTGTTTGATGCCCTGCAAAAGGCAAAGGTCCGGCCTGATGTCATCAGCTACAGTGCTACCATCAGCGCATGTGAGAAGGGCGGTCAATGGCAGCAAGCATTGAAGTTGTTTGATGCCATGCCCCCAGCAAAGGTTCAGCCAAATGTTTACAGCTACAGTGCCGCCATCAGCGCATGTGAGAAGGACGGTCAGTGTGATTGTTTGTTTCCTTCGCTTCCTGAACCTTGTTTGATTGCTTGTGGACGTCGCTTTCGCTACCTTTCAAGGGATCCCTTCCGCCATTTGTCTTTGCATCCAATGCGATGGCTACGCGCGCTTGCTGAAAAGGCTGCTGTGGTGCGGCTGTCTTCACGAAGCGGAGGCTTCGATTTGCTACCGAAACTGGTAGCGGAGCCTTTGTGCTCCTGGTTCCTGGGTCGAAGGGCCCACACACACGCTACCACTGCCTTGACTCCCTCGATTACACGAGCGGCTGCCTGGCACCTCCCTGCGGCTTGGTTTCGTTCCTTTAAGGTTGCGGCCTTCCTGGTGTTCTTCCTGGTCTGGTTTGGTCCACCTTCGTGTTTGACGACCTCTGTGTCCCTGTCTACCTCATCACGTAGGGTGCCTCCTCCCTCCTTGGCTATACGACCGTGACGGCCAAGGATGTCTATGTGTCTTGGAATGGCGATCTGAATACTTGGCCAGATTTCGTTCGAAAGGTGAGACTCCAGTATGAGAAGACGCAGCCAAGCAAACGTTACTTGCTTGGCCCTGAGCTTGTGAGTCGCTTGACGGACAAGGCTTGGCAGGCTTCGTACGAGATCGACCATGACCGCCTTTCTGGACGCCATGGAGTGAAGTACATGCTCAGCTTCCTTCGTGACAAGCTCTGCCGTGCACCGGTCCCCGATGCAGGGGCCCGCCTCGAGGATCTACTGATCCGACTCCGTCGACAGCCCGGTACTCCTTTTGCTCAATGGGCTCATGAGGTGAGAGAGCACTACCGACGACTTCAACGTGCCCTTCTCCGAGCTCGACAAGAAGCCCAACCTAAGGAGACCTCCATGAAGAAGAGCTCAAAAGGAAGCTCCAAAAAGAGCCATGGTTCAACAGCCACTGAACCGGAACCTCGACCTTCATCCACTGGCAGTGACCACTCGCCTTCGAGGAGTGTCCGTAGTCGAGAACCTGCCATTCCGGAAGATGAGGAGCAAGAAGAAGAAGAAGGAGAAGAAGATGAAGTGGACGATGGCTCTCCTTCCAACCGTGGTGGCTGGAACACCTGGTGGCAATGGGGCAATCAGTGGACTGCTGAAGAGTGGAATGAATGGCTTGGCAAGAAGAAGAAGCATGATGGCTCTGACTCCTGGTCTGCCTACGCCGAGGACGATGAGGACATGAATGTGCCCTGGGACGAGCTCGAAGTGAACGATGCTGAAGTTCTTCCTGATGAAGTGTTAGGATGGATCTTGCTTCGACGAGCTGGATTGTCCACTCAGAGCCGACTCTCGGTTCAGGCCTCAGTTGGGAACAGCCTCAAGTTTGAAGCAATTGAACGTGCTCTTCGTGACCAAGAAGAAGAACTTCTCGCAGCTGAACGACGACCAGTTGGTGGAAAAGGACATGGATATAAGGGTTCAGCTCCAAGGAGAACGTTCTGGGTTGAACAGGATCGAGAATGGGGATTGCTGGATGGTGAACCTGATGAAGAATTACAAGTTCACTGGATTGGCCACAAGCTTCCCGATGACGTTTACCAGCATCCCGCTCCGATCCATGAACCTATGCCTGAGGAAGAAGAGACCTATTGGGGTAGTGCTTCATGGGATGATGGCTCCTGGACTACCTCTTCGGCATGGTGGAATGACACCGAGGCTGAGTTTGAGTTCTCACCGGAAGAGCAGAAGCAGATTGATGAGGTCTATGCGGCCTATGAAGACAAGGTGAGGACTTTCGTGCAGGCCAGAAACCTGATGAAGAGCAAGACCAACAACCGAGGCTTCTTCCCGATGGTGAAAGGCAAGTTCTCCAAGGGCAAGGGCTCTTTCAAAGGAAAGCAAAAGGGAGGACCGTCTCCCGTGATGGCTGCCTCCTCCTTTCAAGGCAGCTCAAGCCCTGGCAAGGGACGACAACGTCCAGGTGAACCTGACTATACGGGATGCTTCACTTGTGGAGCTCGTGATCATTCATTCCAGCAATGCCCAAAACGACATCAACGAAAAGGTGGTGGCAGTGCACACTATGTCGACGTTCTCTATGCCGCTCTGGAGAACGACACCTACACGACCAATGAATCTGACAGCTCGGTCTTCATGGCTCAAGATGACTCCGTGGATGCTGAGGAAACCATTTCAGCGTGGACTGTTCAGCCCTCAGATGATCAGTTCCACGCGGTGATCGACTGTGGAGCTACCGAGACGGTTGCG